CTCTCTCTCACACGCACACACACACACACACGCACACACACACACACACGCACACACACACACACACACACACACAACAAAAAAGGAACACAGAAGGCGGGGTGGGAGGGGGGGAACCTGGGGAAAGGGGGCGAGGAGGGATCAGGAGCGGGCAAGGAAGACAGAAAAAGCAATCAGGTTCGAAAGTCAGAAAACAAATGTGGCACTGAGGAGAAGAAGGGATGCCTGGGGACACTGCCATGCCCCTAGAGGCAGACGAGAAAGAATGAAAAAGAAAACAGACGAATGGGGGGAGGAGGAGCATGTGACCATGAAACACGGGGGGGGGGGGGGGGGAGGGGGAGGGGGAGGGGGAGGGGGGGGAGGGGATATCAAAACAGAAGAAAAACAGTAGATAGGACACGTTTTATCGGGTTCATAATTCGTCCAGATGAAGATAAATTAATATAGTCTGTATATACAGTAATATATGTATGCTTCTGTTTACTTAATATATTTTTCTACTAATCTTTTAGCTATTCAATTGTGTTTCAATTTATTTATTTGTATCACTGAATCTAAATAACTCCGTTTTATTATTGACTTAAAATTAAAAAAACAGCGTAGTGGATGACAATTATTTGATTTCAATTTTTAAATTACTAAATTAGGAAAAACGAATTGCATAACTTGGTTATTTCAGGTCCGAAAGGAGAGGACGCAGTTCCAACGAAATGCTCTCTCTCTCTCTCTCTCTCTCTCTCTCTCTCTCTCTCTCTCTCTCTCTCTCTGTGTGTGTGTGTGTGTGTGTGTGTGTGTGTGTGTGTGTGATCATTATTAGAGATCAAGTCTCTCTTTTCTTAAAAAAGAAAAAATCAATTAATCAAATTATTATTTTCTTATCTTATTAAGAAAATAGTATTAATTAAGTATCAATGATTGTAAAATTTTTCTTAGAGCATTTCATAAACATTTGGTGCAATAAAAGTTACTCTCTCTCTCTCTCTCTCTCTCTCTCTCTCTCTCTCTCTCTCTCTCTCTCTCTCTCTCTCACACACACACACACACACACACAC